TTTTAAAAAAAAAAAAAAAAAAAAAAAAAGAAGTCTATATAACAGCTGCGAGTCACAGGATATGTACTTATACTCTGCAAGGCAGTATAGGAATTCTGCAAGTGAATGTGAAAACAAATATGTGAGCACACAGATTTGTGGGCAGATTAATCATTGCAAAGGTAATTTCAGTATTAATCAAATATGCTTTCAGTAGCAAAGTGCAGTTGATGTTAGATTGCAAGAACACATTTCTACTATCAAAATCATTAGGGTTTCAATTTGGGAAATATCCTTATTTAGAAATGTTTAATTTTAAATTGGGAGGACTTAAGCTCATGAGCAATTGAGTGCTCACTTACCATGATGACAGGTGTAAAACCTGAAAGAGAGGAAGCTCAAGGTCTTCAGTTTTAACTTCATAAAACAAGATATAGCATTTCTGTAATTAACCACAAGACCTCTTTCTCAAGCCCTGTTTAAAAGTAATGGTCATGATATTGAGCAGTGAGAGATTATGGTTGGAAGACTACAAGGTTATGTAGTTTCCATTAAGATTACTATCTGTGGTACACAGACTTCTGCAGCATGACTCATTTCCAGTTCAAAACTGAAATGTTATAAATTGCTTTAAAGCAGAGTCCGGTAATGAAAATAGATTTTTGAAAGTAGAAAGCATGGTAAAAACCATTCTTCTCTATTCTAAAAAATAAATGTTTTAATTTCTATTTATTCAAAATTACCATAAATAGTTGTGATTTTACATTATTTAATTATCTATCAGCAGGTGGTATTTCTTGCTTTTAGAGTCAATAGACTATTAGTAATGATGATCATGCTTAAGGGTTTTTTTTTTAAATAGCCTGTGAAATCTATTTAGTCTTCATATAGGTAATTTTGTAGGGTAGAGTTTCAATCTGTTCTCCAACTAGCAGATCACTGGGTGGTACAGCAGCTTCTTTATAGGTTCCATATACTGTCCAGTTTGTACAAGTGTGGATCCCCAAGTGTGGGTGTTTCAACCCAAAATAGCCTATCTAGGACCAGTGTGGAATCCCCCTTTTATCATGTGCAGTAGTTTCTCTTCCTTGTCATTCAACTGCTCTAATATATGGCCCAAGTACAATGGAGAAGATAAATTTAGATTGTAAGTTTGAATGGACTGCACTTTCATTCACCAGCAGTGCAAATGCTGGTGGTTCAATCATTGTCCTATGTTGTTCTTTTTAAAATATATCCCCTCTCAGTCTCTGTCCTGTCATTGGAATTGGAGCAAGGGTGTAAAAGATGCGGCCTACAGACTGGGTATGGCCCATGGAACTTTATCAGTGTCATCTCACCTTTGGGGCGGACACTGGGACTGGAAATTGGCAGAGGGGCAAGCAGCAATAGCTTTATGGTAGTTGCTCAAATATGAGACAACCTGATTATAAGATATCCCTTAGTAATTAGATTCTATATATGGAAAATATATAAATTTGATACAATTTTCCAGGTATAGAATGCAATTATTGGAGGTTTATTTTGAATTTGTCCCCTTCCTACTGCTACAACAGGTAAAATAAATCTGTGGGGTTAGGTAGCTGCTTTGCCCCTCCCCCCCCACTTCTCCCTCTTGTAGCCCGTTTATGCGCTCCTTACTGTCAGACTGAGCACATGGTAGTGAGGGCCAATTTTGAAAAAACTGACCTTGAAATAAGTATCTATCTGCAAGCTTTAGCACAGATAATCTATAAACACTTTTAATATATTTATCTATAATACCATATATGTGATATTAGTTCAAAGCCAGAAGATTCATGATTTACCATATAGTTCATTGGGCTGGGCCCCAGTAAAGCTGAAAGCATTTAAAGCCTTGGTCACTCTACAGCACAGCATTGCTCAGTACTTGGCATATGTGTATGCTCCAGATACTACCCCCTGCCAAGGATCCATGTGCTATTTAGCCCACACTCATGACAAGTTCTTGTCATGAGTCCTGGGATCCTCCAAAATGTATATGCAGATGAGGCATAGGGGAGCCTGGTCCAGCTTTACTTCCTGAAGCGTGGGGTCACGCTAATCATTTGCGACAAGCTAACGGAGGGATTCTGGGCAAACTGTTTGGGGACCTGTTTGATGATATCCAGACCTCTAAGGTTGGTGGAAAAATGGGAATGGCTGTAAATGGGAAAGAAAGGTGCAGCTCAGATGTGAGAGTCAAGAGGACATTTAAATATATGCAGTGTAGTAGCTCACCATGACTTGAACAAGTGTTGGTGCTGAGCAGGACTGCATGCAGTGGGTACTACCGCATCTTATTCATATGGGTTGCACTAATTTATCCTTCTGGTAGGTTTCCATCAGCACCTCAGCCTCTTCTGAGCTAAGATCAAATGTAGTCACTGTGCTGGTCTGACTGTGTGTAGTGGAGGGTCCACCCCTGTTCAAATGCAGACAGGACTCCCTACGAGAGCCTCACAGTTAGTTTCCTACTAACTGGCTTCCAATGGGAGGATCTCAGCTACATGCCTACTTTGTGGAAATGGGGGACTTCTCCCTAGCTTGCTCCTGCAACCATTGGCTGAGGGCAGGTGAGACTTGGGGGGGGAGCGGGTGTCTGTACCCCAAGGGGCCTGTATGTAGGATACTTCGTAATCCATCGGCAGGCATCTGAAGCCCCAGGCTGAGAAGTCTGGGGTGGAGGATACTTGCCGGTTGCAGTCTTCACATATGGTGTTTAAACGATTGAGTTCTGCTCAATCAAAAGGATTTGGAACTTATCTGTATAATTGACCTGGAACACAAAAATTTTTCCAACTTCCCTCGCCCCCCC